TAGTAAACTAATGCCAGCGTTTACCCTAATGCTGTCACACATTCTAATTTTGGAAAAGTCGGGTTCTCCTGAACAAGATTTTTGGTTAGCGGAGAGGTCTGTCGGGTTGGGCAGCATCTGTGCTGAGAAGGGTGGTAGCGGAGAGGTTGGTTTTGAGATTGTACTGGAAAAGGCAGAGGGGAGAATTGAGAGTTTAAAGGACCGTAGAGATAGATAATATTAATTGTGAGAGCTGTAAGGAGAAGGTTTGCTACAGATGAGAAATCAGAACTACACTGAGACGAAAACAAATAAATAAATGGGGTCTCTGGGATAAGAGCAGTGTCACCCTTTGCCCTTCTTCCATTACGGAAACCATTAGCAAATGATTCCTGGCATTAATAGTGCCTGGGAGTAAATGCTTTTCTGCATTCTCATGTCCAGTACTTGGGTATTTTCTCTGTTTTTTTTTTTTTTTTTTTTTTTAAACAAGAACCAAGTTAATATTTAATCTTCTGAGCCTCGTTTTTCAACTCCAGAACCAGAGCAAGTAGAATTCAAATCTTGGATGAGAAATCTGAGTATTACTGAACAAGCAATAGTTCTTGATGTGGGTGATGCCAGGGGAGATACTCGAAAGAAAGAAACTACTATGTTTGTCTTCTTAGGTATATGAGGTCCGCTTCATGGACAGTGCTTCCTGGACCATCCTGCTGGCCTCCCCTCGTTGGTCAAATGCATTTCCTACACCATGCAGTTTCTCTTTCTTTTGAAAATGGCTAGACTGGCCACTTGTTAGAGATTGTCCAGAAACGGGTGGTGAATACTGTGATCCATGATCTTTATTTTCTTCATTTGTCTCAGTAAGATTGTTTTTTAACTGGAGATCTATGAAGTAAACACAAGCATTACTCTCTTTAATTGAATCTGAGATGCCATCCATTGTAAGACATTCTTTAATTTCATATTGCTAAAAAAAATACTGTTACACATGCCTTATTATCACTATGTGCATTCCAATTACAAAGACAGTAAATGTTAACATAGTGTATCTTAAAATCCAAAATCTCTGCCTAGATGGGATTGTGCCTTGATTGCAAAGGTCAGTAATGTAAATAGTTCTGCTGTCATGATAGTATTGCTTGTTTTTGTTTTTTTTTTAAGATTTTATTTATTTATTTGGCAGAGATCACAAGTAGGCAGAGAGGCAGGCAGAGAGAGGAGGAAGCAGGCTCCCCACTGAGCAGAGAGCCCGATGCGGGGCTAGATCCCAGAACCCTGAGATCATGACCTGAGCTGAACGCAGAGGCTTTAACCCACTGAGCCACCCAGGCACCTGGTAGTATTGCTTCTTACTAAGAATAATTAGTGGCATTAATACATCTTGACAGCAATGACTTACATGGACCATGTGAAGCACAGGAATTGTTCTTACAGCCTACAGTTTGGGATAGACTGGCAGATTTTTCATTTTATGGTTAAATATTATAGGTTTAAGGACGTCCAGTTGTAGCACAACATGATGTAGTGAAATAAATTTGGAACCTGAGGGTCTAGGTTTGAAATACGGTCCGATCTGTCCCTAATCTGCTATGTAACCCCAGTCAGTGATGACAGGTTTTCTGAACCGTAGCTGCTTACGCAGTCAAAACAATGGGAGGATGTCTGCCAAAAAGGGTAGCTCTAAGAATCCCAAAAGGCATTTGTAGGCAGTAAACCTTACACAGACTAGAATTGCTGACCTTCTCAGAGCCTTCTGCGCTGTGCGTCTAGGCATTTCCAGGTGAGCGGCTTTGAAGGGGAATCAGAGCAGTTAGGGAAGGTGGAACGTGGAGACCTTTCCCTTGCTCCGAGGATCCCATAGTAGCAGAATGGGAGGGAGGGAGAGGGCCTAAGGCATGGGAAGGAAGCCGTCTCGAGTGTAAGGCAACGTAAGAAAATAGGACCTACGTGCACGAATGAGGGCCCGGCGTCTCTCGGAGCGACTCGGATCTGAGCGGTCGGTCGTTGCTCTGTGCAAGTTTGACAATCACGATGCTTCGTGGGAGAATGAGCTCAGCTGATGATCAGCAGAACTTGGGGGTGATTAGAAGGCAGAAAGTGACCTGTGACATACCCTCTTCTTGAAACTGATCCGTAGTTGTCATAAGCTCTGTCCCCAATTCAGCCACCCCAGGTAGGTTCCGTGGTTATTTGCAGTATTTTCCTTGGTGCTTGGTTTGGGGGGGGTGTGCCTAAGTGTGGATATTTTGTGCCTCATCAGGGAAATCCCATGAGTGACCCATTCCCAAGGAACGACACAGAAGACTCATGCCGTCACTCTAATAAGGCTCTAAGAAGAACTTTGCCATAAGAGAATTTAATAGCTTTGTCACGATTTAGGATTTGGGAAGGAGTGAACAAAATTGAGACCCATTTTCTAAATAAAACACACACGTTGGGGGAGACAGTGGTGGCGTTACCTTCTGCAGTTCTCACACTGCGAGGCACCGGATCAGGGCTTTGTCAAATCGGAGCCATGGTCAGAGCTGAGTCCTCGTCTGCTTCGTGGGGGTAAGACGTTGAGAAGTACAAATACTTGTGGCTTTGGCGCTGATTTCTTGAAAGGGAGCTGGGTGACTCTGGACTATCGAGGGCTAGTGGTTTCTGTTAATAAGCGGAAGGTGGCGGGGGGCGAGATTCACAGGCGGGGGGTCCACTGCCGCACGGGCTGTGACGTCCCAGCCTGGTCACCTCGTTCCACCTTCCAGGGTTTGCACGTGAATCGCAACAGGCGATTGGAGCAGACTGTGGCGGCACTGGGGCTCTGGCCTCTTCCGTGACCTGTGTTGCGGTCAGTGCTAATCGCTTAGGACACACATTCTCCCGCCTTGTTACAGCCTTTGTGTTCTCCTCCCTCAGGCCGCCGGGCACCCACTTCTCACTGGTGGCAGTTGGACAGTGAGGTGAAGTCTGTTCTTCATCCCAGACGAGATGATCTCTATGATCCTTTTGAACTTTCAGCATTTTCTGATTTTTCTGAAATTCCCAAGTCTTTGGCCAACCATCTCCCCGAATCACTTTATTAGAATGGTTTCAGTAGTGATGAATAAATGGAGAAACTGAAGAAAATTCGTGGTTCTTGGCAGAAAAAATAAGAAAAGCCCAACTCCCAGGGCACGATGGAATCCCACCTGTGATGCTGCTCGTGCTGGATGCTGTATGGTTTTTGACCATCTTCAGCTTTTGTAAGCCGGAAGTGGTAACCAAATCCGGATGGATGGCTCCCTGCAGGCTCTCAGACTGAACTTTGAGATGCTTCTCATCTTGGGTCCCAGAGTCTCTGTTTATGGACATTTCGAGTTTCTCAGGGAAAGGGTAGATGAAAAAAAGGCTCTTTTAAAAAAAAAATCTTCCTGCCAAGGATAAGTTGTTTGCAAAGATTATATTGCACATGAATCATACTCAGAAAACTGGCAATCTGAGGAGGACAGAAACACACTTTGTCCACTGTCTTATAAAATGTTGACATTGAGTTCTCTATTTAACAATGACTTCAGCTAAGCTCAGAGCATTTGTGTTAATGCTTATGTCCTGTAGCTCCTGATCCTTTGGGTGTTATGACCATGTCCTGCCTCAGCGAGAGACATGGCAATGATGACGCACGTAGTGACAGATCTCCCAGAGTGATTCTCAGTAATCAATTTCTTCCCATTGGTGGCTGTTTTTTCCCTCCAGCATTCTCCCATGGCATTGGTTTGTGGTTGGGATAGAGTACAAAAGGCTGAAGCTTTTCTTCTGTTTCTTTTTCTTGATGTTTCCTTCCCTAAATGCTGTTTTCATCTGCCAGGTTGTCCTAATAGTAGATTTTTTCCCCAACACTCCACCCCTTGGCCACCCTTGCCAAGGCGCACGCCTGCGTTATGATGCCATGGTCCCCGTTGGCTGCAGCTGGAGCAGATGCCCTTGGAGTGGAGCATGTGCCTTCCCAGACAGGGCTCCACACCCCTCTCCCATTCAAATGTAAATATCCTTGGCATCTTGAAAAGAAGGATTAGCCCAGGTTGTGTCCTCCTGCGGCCTTCACACACCCTCTCCCCCTGGGTCCAAAGCTAGGGCTGGCTTCCCGTATTGTTTGCCTTCTGAAACCCTCAGTCTGTCGGCTCCTGAATGCCTGCATTGTCCAGACACGCTGCCCGAAACCGACAGTCTATTCTCGGGTCCCGAGCTCTGTCCCTAGAAATCCGAGTCACAACTTAATAGCCTGTGGCCTCTACTGAGCCCCTCTAAGAAGGGCTTTGTGAGTTGCAAAGCATATGAATGGAGAGGACTGGCACCAGGCTTCCTGTCCCCCAAATCAGGAGCCTCTCGGCCAGCGTTTGCTGAGAACGGAGGCATTATAGAGCCCCCACCCCAAAGGAATTTGACACAAATGGGTGAAAATCGGCCATGTCAGACCTCCCAGTGGAAGCTGGAGGGTCAGCATTGAATGTCTGGATTTACATACACGCACCTGTAAACACACATGCACGCGTGCACACACACACATGCACCTGTGCATACGCACACACACACACAGTACTTGAAGTCTAGGCCTCTCTCACAATTTCACTTTTTCAGCCTCTGTCCTGCTTGTCTCCTGCTATACCCAGTGTCAGTCCGGCATTGCCTGTCGTGATGCTGAGTCTTCCAGCAGCTTCGAAGGCTCGCACGCTCTCCCCGGCCGGCGCTCGGCTCTGTGGGATGAACCAGTGCGAAGCCCAGCTCCGTCCTCCACAGGACGATCTCCGCATGCGGCAGCCGGAGACTCGAGCTCAGATCCAAGCTGGATCCTCCGATGGAAGCGTGGCCTGGCCTCGGGCGGCATGAGGTTGTGCTCAGTCGGCCGGTGCGCGTGTTCCTCCGAGGGCGACTTGCGTTCTCGAGGCGCTGCTGTTCCATCCCAACCAGCCCGTTTCCAAAGTTAGCGACTCCCGCATCGCCGCGCTTTCCTTCCACGGCATTTACTGACGCTGCATCCTCTCCCCTTAAACCCGCTGTAGGGAAGCATGCCTCGGACGCCCCCCTTCTCGGCCATGTTCGACAGCAGCGGTGACAACCGGAACCTGTACCAGGCGGCGGACGCGGGCTGCGCGGGCCTGTGCTACCACGACAACAACCTCCTGTCGGGGTCTCTGGAGGCGCTCATCCAGCACTTGGTGCCTAACGTGGACTACTACCCGGACGTAGGTACCCCGTCCTGGGAAGCGCATCCCTGCTGGTCTTTACAAGAAATTGCAACGTAGGGGCAGGGGCCCCAGATACTCCTGAATTGTATCTGGGCTGCTAAGAATTTTTCAAATCAGAAAATGCCTATTGATTATTGAGTGTTTTGAGATCCAGTGGAGCCCGCATGTGATTCACATTTTGATTATTGTCTGCATATCAGTTTCTTCTCGGGGCTGGTACCACACTGTAGGGGGCCAGATGCCATCCAAGTGCGGTATCTGTAGGTTGAATTCATGTATATGCCTCGTCCTTGCGTAGAAACGCCGGAAGACAGTGCATACTCCTAGGATACTTAAATGCTTGTTTTCTTTCCAAGACCATCTCCATACTGAGGAAAGTGAAGTCGGACAGGAAGACTTCCTAGAAAGGGGAACAAGAGGCATATTCAAGATGCGGTTCATATGTTTTTCTTGGATAGCCAGCCTTTTCATGGGTAATACTTTCTAGTCTAGAGAAGTCACTTACATTTTCTCACTCTCCACGGCAATTCCAAGAGGCCGGAGCGGAGAGCACTGAAATTCAGAATGCTGAGCGAGCCGCACACGGTCTCAGCCAGCACCAGCATCAAACCTAGGTCTCTCTGTTTCTGGGCAAGTGGTGTTTTTCTCCCCGTTTTCACTGGTGCCAGACTTGCCCTTGTTACTGAACAGCAGTTGGTAGTTGATAAGGAGGTCATGAAACCATCTAGACACAGAGTCACATGTTTTTATAAATATAACGATGACCTTGGTGCGCAAAGGATAGTTTGTGCTTGCCGCCTAGTTCACCATAGTGTTTCTCCCTGAGTTATCTCTCTGTGCGATTTGTTATATAGCATTGTGAAATATGTTGCCACACAGGGAACACTTGTGATCAGAAGTAAAAGGAATCCCTTGTTCAGCCCTGTAAGTGTTTATGAGCTAGTAAAGGCGCCTAAGGGGGGAGGCGGGGGTAAAAAATAAAAAAAAAAACAAAACCCACAAAACAAAATGAAAAACAGCCTTGGATTTTTCTTTTCACTGGGAGTCTGAAACTGTTATAGCAAATAAACCCTACTTCATTACTGGCTTCTTGGGAGACAATGTAGTTAAGAAAAAGTATACAGTGTGATATTGTGTTTTATCAAGTTGCTTAGCCTCCGAGGGAGTAAGCAGATTACTTGAAAGCCCGCCTTTGAATGTTCTAGCACCAGCGGATGGACTCTGCTGGGTGCCCACCAGACACACTGGAGAATCCTCGAGCTGTTGTGGGCTCGGTGTTTTTTTGGTTTCCATTGAGTTACCATAATATCTGGACCCAGAACAAGATTCTGTAGGGGTGATCTGTTTAAGTCAGATCTGCGTCTCTGGGCTGAATTTCATTCTCCTTAGCGAGAGTGAGTGATGTGTCCTGGTGTCCTGGCGCCCAGAGGGAGGGACGTGAAAGTGTGCTTTGAATAATTTCAGTAGATAAACTTATCTTGTGCTTCTGTTATTTTTAGTGTGGTTGAAGGAAAGAGGTACATCAGAAGGCAAAGGAAAAATCTGTCTTAAGGTGTTTTACTACGAAGCATTATTATTTTTTTTAACATTTTTTTTTAATTTTTATTTTTTATAAACATATAATATATTTTTATCCCCAGGGGTACAGGTCTGTGAATCGCCAGGTTTACACACTTCACAGCACTCTCCTAGCACATACCCTCCCCAATGTCCATAATAACCCCACCCCCCCTCTCCCGACCCCCCTCCCCCCAGCAACCCTCAGTTTGTTTTGTGAGATTAAGAGTCACTTATGGTTTATCTCCCTCCCAATCCCATCTTGCTTCATTCATTCTTCTCCTACCTCCTTAACCCCCCATGTTGCATCTCCTCTCCTTCATATCAGGGAGATCATATGATAATTGTCTTTCTCCGATTGACTTATTTCGCTCAGCATGATACCCTCTAGTTCCATCCACGTCGTCGCAAATGGCAAGATTTCATGTCTTTTGATGGCTGCATAGTACAAAGCATTATTTTTTGAAACTGCAGTGTGTTAACTTTGATCGAGAGAACTTAATGACATAAGATGTGTAAACTATGGGGGAGATATTAGTCTCAGAGAGACTGTAACCACGGTGACTGTTTTCCTCTCGCCACAGAGAACGTACATATTCACCTTCCTACTCAGCTCTCGGCTGTTCATGCATCCGTATGAGTTAATGGCCAAAGTTTGCCACTTATGTGTTGAGCACCAGAGACTAAGTGATCCCAACAGCGACAAGGTACGATATGCCTTGAACTTTACTATTCTCTGTTAGGCTTGGTAACTCTGTCGCTTAGATTTTGTGACGCTGCCTCCCTTCCCCCGGGCTGAAGGGCATAAATGGTGTCACGGCTGTGCAAAGGCAATGGGGAATGGCATAAAGAACTGTGGAGGCTTGGACACCGGAATTAATGTTCCTTTTCATCTAAGATCTTTATTTCTCTAACGTTCTTGGTCCTACTGAATCACTTCAGTATATAAAAATACTGCGATGTTACTACCCAAGAGAAAAGCCAGCACAGTGTGTGTGCTGGTCATTATGGTCAGTATGGTAGAATTTTTAAAAAATAAACCATCATGTCCTTCTTGCGAAACAAACCAGCCCCCGCAGTGTAAGTTCAAGGCCATGGAAGAGCCCTAGATCCTGCCGGAAGTTGGTGCCACTTGGCATTGACTTGGGGGAGGAGGACTAGACTTCTTCAAGCCCAAAGACTTTACAGGAGACGTTTACCAGTGACTCTGTTCAGTTACAGATGTGACGCCGTCCGTGCTGATAGAGATCACTGAACGAGATGTGCTCTTTCTTCCAGAACCAGATAAGAAAAATTGCACCCAAAATCCTTCAGCTCCTGACGGAATGGACGGAAACGTTTCCTTATGATTTTCGGGATGAAAGAATGATGAGAAACTTGAAGGATCTGGCTCACCGGATAGCCAGCGGCGAGGAGGTTGGTGTCCTGAGTCTTAGTGAAAGCACTTGAATTTCCAGGCCGAGCCTTGGTGGGAACTGGTGCTGAATTGTGTATCACGATCTCCACATCTTCCTTTCTGTGTTGCCTTTGGGCAAGTCTTCGACATAGCCTCGTGGCCCGTTTGTTGTGTGGAATGGGGAGGATTACACAATCCCACTTGGAAGGGTTATCATCTGGAATTTTATGTGATTAATCTGGGGGTGCGTTCGTGTCCATTCATGCGTAGGGTTCACGTTGCAAGGGTGTTTTAATTTTACTTGTACTTTTCTTCCTTCTGAAAGGTTTGACACAGCAAGTTACATAGCATGTACAATAATACATATCATATTAGTAGATCTAAACACAGGTAGAACATAAATAACATGGTAACGTGTTAGCAGATGATAAGTTGTGTGTTGATACATCAGAAATAGACACTTTGTAACCACGGAAGGGAGAAAACACAGGGTCTGGAAGCGACTAGCAGGACAGGACTGCTGCGGTTTCGGCGTCAGCTTCGGGTAAAAGAGAAGCACAGTTGGTTATGGGATTTTCACCATCAGGAAAGAAAGCCTACTAGTTCTTCGGGGCATTAAATTAAACGAAATTTTAAGAACTTTCTTATGGAGAACTTTATCCAGGGGGCACAGAATGAGATCAGGGAGACTGCTCCGTGTAGGTTTTGTAACAAATGCTCCTTGATAAAAAACCGAGGCTGTGTGATTCCTGTGTCATTAGCAAAGGTCATTCTTCTGGAGAGGAGAAGACAAAGAGGAAAAGATCCAAGTCTCCTGGTGGCCGGAAGTTGGTTCAAGGCTAGTACCTAGGGCAGGTGGAGAAAAGTGAGTCTCTTGGATACTCTGTCATAAATACCACTTCCCTGCACCAAGCCTTTGACAAGAGCTAACTAGCTGTTAAATCAAGCAGGGTGATCCTCTCTGAAGGAGGCCTGGAGGCCTGGTATTTTCTGCTGAGGCATGTTGGGCAAGGGTGTCTTTGTAGCTTCTGTGAGCCAGTAAGCTCCTGGGGGCAGAGCCCTTGGGCGCAGATACAGCCCTTCCACGCAGGGAAAGACGGACAGAGCGTTTGGCCACTGGAGAGATGTCTTGTTTTGTTCGTCTTGAAATGCATTTTCCCTTCAGAGTGACCTTCCTTGAGAACACGCTCCCTCGGTGCCGCGCCGTGAAGATCAGTAACAAGATGCCCTCTCTGTTGTGTCTGCTTCTGGTGAATCTATTTTAAGACCATTCCCCCCACCTTAAAAAATTATTTCAGATTTGCAGTTGACAAACTTGACTCGCCTGCAGTTATGTCCTCATGAGAGTGGATTTAACCCTTCTGCTGCTCCCATGTGACGTTGTACTGAACCCTGGTGATCAAGACGGCTGTGATTTATCCGTAAGGCTGAGTGAGTGGGTTCCTGAGTCGTTTTGCAAGTTATGACTATTAAAATTATTTTGCCGGTTTGCCTGTGATGGGTTTCAGCCAGGTATGAATTGGTGGGTCCGCCACGCACAAAGGCAGAAGTTCAGTGCCACAGGGTGGTTTTCTAGCCGATCTTACTCAGCCTGTGTCTGTCGGGCTGCTTGGCTGCATCAGTCCTGGTTCAGTGAACGCGGGTTAGGACAAGATGCTCAAAAGATTAGTGGCATCGTAAGGACTTTTTCTTGTATGAAGTCCGAGTCTGGAGTCAGTCGGTACCACATTTAATTAAGTTGTACTTTAAGTACCTAACTTGATAGGTCAGTCAACTGACCTTCCCCCGTTGCCTTTTTTAAAAGGTAGGAATGGTCACTTGATCCTTTCCAAAGGAACACCTGAAGAATCTTTTACAGATAAAAAGTTGGCATTCTGAAAGTGTCTGATGGGTGGCCTTTGGTTTGTCGTGTGGTGGTGGTCAATGAGGGAGATGACTTATATCTGTGTCAGTCTGATTGGATCCTGTCTGGTTTTTTGGGTCAGGCTCAAGCCCCTCGAGTGCTGGGAGGAAGTCAGAGGCCCCCAGGGCCTTCGAACTGGCTTCTTGTGAACACTCCTCTGTTAATAGCAAATCCTTGATAAACCTTGAGATTGTCAGATGGTTTTGAGTGAGAAAAGAGGAAACGAGAAGGTAAGCCAGGTGGAACCAAGGAATGGATCAACCCAGGGCTTGAGCAGCCACGCGTCCCCTGCCTTGATCAGGTTGGGTTTTACAGGGAGAGGCCGTTCCTTTGGCCCCTTCAGTCCTGTTTCTGGAATTGGCCGCTGTTGGCATCTGGTCGATCTGAGCGGGCTTCAGCGGGTTCCCAGATTCCTTGTCTTCTCTGTTCCTGCAAATCGAGGAGGCATCTGTGCTGTGTTAATGCCCCGGTCAGCTCTAAGATCGTGTGATGGATGCTTTCCTCAGAGAGACGCCTTCCCTCGCCACCCCAACCACTGTCCCCCTGCAACACCCTCATTGTTGGCTTTCACCACCGTTTTCTTCAGAGCACCCTGTGGCTAGGAATTACTTGCTTTTTTTTTTTTTTACTATTTGTTATCCACCTCCTCCCCCTCCCCTCCGCCAACTCCTGGCGCCCTCTCTGTTCATCGTAGCGTCCCTAACTCCTAGCTCAGTGCCCGGCATCGCGTAGGTACTCAGTAGCCTGCGCATGAATGAAGGAGCGAACTATGCAGTTTCTGGAAGAGGAAAACACATACTTCCCTCCGCAGGAAGGAGCGTGGGCTTGGCTGGAGACTTGTTGCTTCTCGCCCGAGACTTTAGGGATTTTTTTGGCAGTCAGTGACTCCAGGTGCGCCCTGTGTATGATTTTGTCTGGTTCTGCTGAATCTGCTGGGACAGTTCTGCATAATTTGGCTTAATATGTTTCCCCCTGGGGATTGCCCCAAATGAAGTGGTTTATTAGGACTTGCCCGCAAGAAACATGAAATGGAGCTAATGACTGAATTACGTGACATGTGACTGTAGTGGGGAGAATGCAATTTTCTCTTCCTTAAGGGGCTGGTCTTTCTTCTATCTTTATTTGCCAGGTAATTACGGTCACTGGCATTGGAAGTTATAAAAAAGAATAAGTGCATATTTAGCAATTCATGACTCAGTAAGGAAGCACGCCTAACAACACAAAGCTTGGAATGGACTCAAATGGCAGCAGGAAACTTAAAAGAGGTCATACATGCATACGCTCTGTCTCTGTGCGTCTCTTTGTCTGTCTCTCTCACACACACACACTCACACACACGCTAGTTCTTCATTATTTGAATAGCTTTACCCTATTCCCTCTTGTATACATTTCCCCCTTACAGCTTATTGCTTTTTGCTCACTAGCTGAGTCCTTGACCATACATCCCTCAACCACTTCCCTTAAAAAAGTATGTTTTAAAGTGTAGAATAAGAGACTGTGGACTCTGAGAAACAAACTGAGGGTTTTGGAGGGGAGGACGGTGGGGGGTTGGGAGGGCCTGGTGGTGGGTACTAAGGAGGGCACGGATTGCGTGGAGCACTGGGTGGTGCATAAACAATGAATTTTGGAACACTGAAAAGAAACTAAGTTAAATAAATAAATAAAAATAAAGCTAGTTAATAATCTGAAAAAATAAAAATAAAAAAAGAATCTTTCACCAGATACGCCAGTAGAGCATAGATCCTGATACTTTGCTACATACCAGCATCACCCGGGAATGTTGGGTATGACATTTGGGACAGGGACTGAAGAAACCATTTTAAGTTCACAGATTTTTAATGTAACTCAAAATGATGAAAGCAGAAGAGCGAGGGAGATGGGAACAAGGGATTTATTTTATTTTGTTTTATTTTTATTTATTATTGTTACTGAGGTCTAATTAGCATCTAACAGTCTATTAGTTTCAGGTATACAACTTAATGACTTGATATTTGCATATATTGTGAAGTGATCGCAGTAAGTCTTACTAACATCCATCACTACACAGTTACAGAATTTTTTTCCCTTGTGATGAGAACTTTAAGACCCGTTCTTTTAGCAAGTGTCAAAGATGCAATACAGTATTATTAACTATAGTCCCTGTAATCACGTCCCCAGGACTTATTTATTTTGTAATTAGAAGTTTTTACCTTTTGACCAGCTTCACCCGTTTTGCCCCTCCCCTATCCCTGGCTTCACCCCACCATGAGGGATTTAATTAGCCCTTAATTCAGTCTCGAGCTCCTTCAAATTCCAAAGAAAAAGACATTTTTCTTTGAGGGACAAGCATATTACCAAATAGATAACATCTTCTAAATTGGTAACGTTAATGCTGGGTGGAAGATAGGTTTTTTGAAGGTTCAACTTTTTAAACAGGTATTTCATTAATGATTTAGGGTGGTCTGTGAATAACGGAAAAAAAGAGGTGATCTAATGGGACAGTTTAAAGAACTGAGTAGAATATACTCCAGACAAGTAGAGACAAAGAAAAGAAAAAGAAGCCTGGGTAAGCTGCTTTTGCCTTGACTAAGTAAGAATCGGTCATTTCCAGAAGTGTTTGGGGTTTTCCTTAAGTATGCAGGTATCTGTCCGTCTGAGTTTCTGTAATTTGCTCTGGTGCACCGGGTTGCCTCTGTGACATGACAGGGCTCTTGTACTTGTAGGTAAGATGCCATTCAGTTTTCAAACAGTTAATCTCAGAAAGTAAGAGTGGGTAACGCCTTTTAAAAAGGGTCTGACTAAGCAGAGGAGCATAACCATAGGCCTTTCCACGTCTCAGTTCAGAGGGACGGCCCTCCTCGGAGGTGTTGACCTAAGGACCGGGTTAGGTCGGGGCCTTTCTCAGCTCCCTTACCTACAGGGATGGTGGTTTGCTTGGCAGTCTGGGGCGAGACAAGACAGAAGAGAGCGCCGTAGCTTCTGTCGTGGTAACAGGCCCCTGCGGATGGATTAATTGTGAAGTTATTTCTTTGACTTAACGAGTGCTCTGAAAAGTCAAGAGACTGGCATTGTCTCGAAGACGTGAGTCGCTTTGGAAAACGATTGGTCTTAAGGGTCGTGGCTGTCGCGCAGCGCGGGGGCGCCTGGCTGGTCGCGAACGTTCGCGCTGACTCGCGAGTGCGAGGGGAATGGACGTGAGTCACTGCAGGTCAGGTGCCAGCAATGAACAGCCGCTGCCTCCTGGTGCCAGCCGCGTCCTCTGTGCAAGTCCGGGGCGGGTGTGGGCAGGGGCGCGGGGAAGGGGTGATAGTGGTATTTTCTGTCCGGCTGGCGTCGCTTATAGACGGCCGAGACCGGGCATGAGAGGCGCAGGGAGATCAGGAAGGGGACCCGGCGGAGAAGCCTTAGGAAGAGGCTGCTCCGGGCGGAGAGCAGAGTGCTTTAGCCTGCGCGGGGTGAAGCGGGGCATGCCTGGGCCGGCCCAGGGAGCACTTAGTTCTGTGCAGTAGCTCATCAACGTGTGGCTGTGGGGTTTTCCTGGCTCAGCCCGAATCTTCCTCTCAGAGCAGCCTGAGCAAAGAGCTCACTTTCCAGGTCCGAAAAGGCCCCTCCTGGGCGACGTGTCCCTCTCGGACCTCGGAGCTGGGCTCGGGCGTCCTGTAACCGCGGCTTCTCGCGCCCGGGAGCGCAGGCCCGGGTTAGCCTGCGGGGGAAGGTCCACACGCAGAGTGACCCTGATCCTGCGCTTCTCCCCGGCAGACATACAGGAAGAACGTCCAGCAGATGCTTCAGGGTCTGATCCGCAAACTGGCCACGCTCAGCCAGTACGAGGAAGTCCTGGCGACGATCGGCTCCGCGCCCACGGATCGGCTCGCGGTTCTCAAGACCAAGCCGCAGTCCGTTCAGAGGGACATCATCACCGTCTGCAGCGACCCTTACACTCTGGCTCAGCAGCTGACTCACGTCGAGCTGGTAAGGTCCTTGTCACCGTTTGCTGTGGCAACGCGCACGTCGTCCGCGGTCACGTCCCGGAGACTGTTAGCAGGACCCAAATGGGAAGTGCTGTGGCAGTGGCTGTCTAAGCAAAACCTTGAACATGAATGTTTTTGACATTCAGAGAATTCACTTTTTTTTTTTTAAAGATTTTATTTACTTATTTGACAGACAGAGATCCCAAGTAGGCAGAGAGGCAGGCAGAGAGAGGGGGGGAGGCAGGCTCCCCGCTGAGCAGAAAGCCTGATGCGGGGCTCGATCCCAGGACCCTGAGACCATGACCTGAGCTGAAGGCAGCGGCTTAACCCACTGAGCCACCCAGGCGCCCTGGGAAATTCACTTAAACACTAGCAAGCAAGACTGAAGGGCAGATTGACTGACTCCCTCATCTTCACCCTCCATTTCCACGACTTGCCCAGCCTTTCACTATGCCGTGTGGCACTGACTTTGGCAGAAAGTTGCCTGTGCTCAGATCGCGAAGACGATGACAGTATTTAGGGTTAAAGGCTCATTTTAGAAGCTGCATAAAAAGCGGAGGCCGTGCCAGAAGTCAACAGGAGTTAACAGTCCATTTCTTCTCGTTTTCTTTACTAACGTTGATCTGCTGGTTTGGTGTTTCAGGAAAGGCTCAATTATATTGGGCCAGAAGAATTTGTTCAGGCGTTTGTACAGAAGGACCCTTTGGACAATGACAAGGTAATCGGTCTACCTAGAGGTCAGCTCTGAAACTGGAAATGGGACTTCTTAGTCTGTGATAGCAGATGCAAGAGACAGAGACTGGAATTATTTTGTCTTAGGCTTTACAGTCAGAAGGTGTTTTTTTCATTAGCCACGTCTGATTCATTGTGCTTTTCTTAAGCCTGGTCTTCAAGCACCGTCACCGTATTCTTACCCTATCACAAACCCTAGCCTCTTCTTCCTCCTTATTGGGAAATTAAATAAGCAAGTAGACACAGGATTTGCGGTGATGAGGGTCGGAGATAAAGGCGCAATGGTTTTAGCAGATTAAGTCAGAAAAAATACCAGAGAATGCTCCGCTCGTGACTCAGCAATCAGAGGGGCGGGAAAGACAGGACACACATGCAGTGAGCCGAGTAAGGGTCTCCGCTGCTTTGCTGCTGGTTTCAAGGTCAGTCTCTCGTGACAGGCTTGTTCCCCGAGTGAGCCACATGTGAAGCAGGTAGCACGCATGGATGTAAGATCGGTGAACACACATAAGAAATGGTTCCCCAGTGGCCCCCAGAAGCATCTTGAGTTGTTAGGCAAAGACTGGATCGTCCACTAGTGAAAACCCCCTTTGGAACTTAGGGGTAACAGCTGTTTTCCGGCCTTAGAATAGCTTCCCTCAGTACAGGAAGCAAGGATTCGGCTTTGCAGTAGGAGGCTAGTGGACTTTTTTTTGTTTGTTAGATTTTTTTGGAAGGAAGGAAAGAGGAGTGTAATTACCCTGTTCAGGCTTGGCCTTGAGCACCAAGATGAGCTGAACTCCTTTCGCTTTTGAAAAATGTGCCGTTCACCCTCCTAAGGACTGGGACGGCCCAGACTCTCATTTACCTCGCTTGGAAGATGTTTCGTTTCTTGCTACATGATGCTCTGAAATGTTGACCTAGACGGCATTTTAAGAGAAAATATCTTAGTCCCTGCTCTCAGCCTCTCCTCGCCATGTCGCTAGCAGCTGGCATTCCCACGCCACTCATCAGTCCCGGTTGCTTTGGAACATAGCCAAGACCCCTTTGAATTGTGCTTCAGAAGACAGTTCCCACTGAGAGTGACTTAGTTTCTGGGGGGGAAGGGCCCCATTTTGAACACTTCAGAGTACGCCTCTGGCTAAATCTTACGGATTTCACTGGACCGTAGGAAGAGACTGTGGTATTTCTGTGACGGGGTCCAGAATGTTAGTGATTTTCTCTCCCTCCTTCCCCATCCCCTTGTCTTGGATGGCTGTCTCGCTCCATAAACTGGACCAAAGGCCCATGTCTGACAGGGACGAGAGCCCAGTCCACTCTTTTTTCTTGGTCTCCAACTCATCTGCTCGCTTTGCTCTCCGCAGAGCTGCTACAGTGAACGGAAGAAAACCCGAAACCTGGAGGCGTACGTGCAGTGGTTCAACCGGGTCAGCTACCTGGTTGCCACCGAGATCTGCACGGTGAGAAGACGAGTTTTCCCTTTCTCCTCATCTCCCTTTATTCTTTTCATATTTATTTTACATCTGTTGGGTCCGCGTGTTGGATCACTGCCCTCCTTTTCTCCCCCGTCTCTGTACAGCCCGTAAAGAAGAAGCACCGGGCAAGGGTGATCGAGTATTTCATCGACGTAGCTCGGGAGTGTTTCAACATCGGCAACTTCAATTCCCTGATGGCCATAATCTGTGAGTGTTTTCTGGAAGGCACGGGTCCTTCACTTGTGAGGTCCTGGGAAGGGTGTCCACTAAAATGCACACGTAGTACAGTTGCATTAATGAAAACTCTACTTTTGGGGCGCCTGGGTGGCTCAGTGGGTTAAAGCCTCTGCCTTCGGCTCAGGTCATGGTCGCAGGGTCCTGGGATCGAGCCCCGCATCGGGCTCTCTGCTCAGCGGGGAGCCTGCCTCCTCCTCTCTCTCTGCCTGCCTCTCTGCCTACTTGTGATCTCTGTCAAATGAATAAATAAAATCTTTAAAAAAAAAAAAACCTCTACTTTTGAATTCCGAGTTGTTCTAGAATGTTCCAAATGCTTTAAATATCAGCATCGTACAAGTGCGCACACTCTGCTGGACGTGTGTGACTTCGTGGAGTACAGCCAGTCAGCTTGTCCTCCTCTAAATATTTACCGATAGAAGCTCATGAGGGAGAGATTTGTCTAAAAGGAGGATTTAGAAAGTGTTCGGGCAGCTTGTGTGTCAAGCATGATAAAATGTGTGATCTGAGACTGCGCTGTATGATGTTAGCAGCGTGGACCAGAGGGCGGCCCGAGAAACGGGATCTTGTGACCGTCCGTGCTCCTAGGACACCTGCAACCCCGTATTACCCTGGTGGACGAACTTCAGTCCTTCTTTGTAACATGGGATCTTAACACCAGTGACCATGTTTCTTTTCATTCATCCTGTAAACATAGTGCCCGGGTCATGCCACAGTTATTGATAGTGACTCTTTCATTTGAAAATACCCTATTTATAGGATAAATCATATGTTTATCCTATACATTTTAGGTAGTCAATAAATAGTTGAATATTTACTGGACCCTCTAGAGTCAGAGTCAGTTTGGAGTTGGAGTATCTACCGGATGTGACTCAGTGCTTTTGATCCCGGTAACTCCCCCCTCACCAGTTCTGAATTCCGTTTTCTTTTCAACATGATTTTCCTTGTTTTCTCGCTAAAAATACCACATTTTGGCTTTTTATCTGGTTTACTTCTTGAAAATAGTGAACAAAAAGACCATGTAAATCAGGGACCTGAAAGTCCACAGTCTAGGCGGTAGAAGTTCACTTAATTTTCTCCCTTATACCACTAAGAAAATGTCAAGACACACCATGTCGTGGGAGAAAGTATCTGTAATACATGACAGCTGAAAAAGAACTTGCATCCAGACTCTATAAAGGACCCTGTGAATCAATAGGGACACAAATAACCTAGTGAAAAACAGGGCAGATACTTAGGTTTGTCACAAAAGTTTGCTTCTGTATACTTATTATTATAGATAATAGTATATAAAAATGTGCTCCGTATCATTAGTCATCAGAGAAATACAAATTAAAATCATAGTGTAAAACCATTTCACACGTTGAAATGACTGAAATTAAAAGGACTGGGTGAGGGGCGCCTGGGTGGCTCAGTGGGTTAAGCCTCTGCCTTCGGCTCAGATCATGGTCTCAGGGTCCTGGGATCGAGCCCCGCGTCAGGCTCTCTGCTCAGCGGGGCCCCTGCTTCCCTCACCCCTTTCTCTCTGCCTGCCTCTCTGCCTGCTTGTGATCTCTCTCTCTTTGTGTCAAATAAATAAATAAAATCTTAAAAAACAAAAAAAGGACTGGGTGAACCAGATATTGGTGAAGATGAGGAGAAAGAGGAAGTCTGTGTGTTACTGGTGGGGTATGAGACGTATTTCTACTGTGGAAAACTGGTGGCTGTTTTTTTTATCAAGTTAACTTGCACTTAATAATGAACACTTTTTGGAGCATAATGTCGAATGACTTCTCTTACTTGTCTGTTTCAACTTTTTCTCCCATCTCCACTCCGTTCCGCGTGGGAAGCCGGCATGAACATGAGCCCGGTGTCTCGACTGAAAAAAACATGGGCTAAAGTGAAGACTGCAAAGTTTGATGTTCTTGAGGTACGTGGAGCTGGGGCCTTGCTGCTAACACTTTACAGCCAGGAAGTGAGATTCTTCTGTGTGAGCTTTGCCCTTGATCAGGGCGTCCTACAGGGAAGAAAGCCCGTCTCTCCTTACAGACGCAGGGAAGGGAAGGGCGTTAGAACTGGCAGAGGGGAGGAGAGATCGGTTGTAGCCCGGCCCTTTCATAGACAGAGGGTCCACCTTGGGGCGGACCGACTGAAGAAATAGCGACTTGTCAGCTACATCCTGTTGTTTGCCAGGATGGAGTCTGGATCCTGAGCCACTGGGAGTTCTGCCTCAGGGCCGGCTGACGTCCTGTATTTGCAGTGTCCCAGGGGAAGAGTTCCTATCCCTATGGAAATACTCACTTGCCGTCTTTCAGCACGGTTAGCTAACCTGCACAGAGGCTCTGCAGGGTACTTCGGAGGATAGTAAGAGTTGTCCATAAAGGCATTTGTGTTTGGATCATACTAATGTCGTTATCACCTTGGCATGTTGGTGCTTTGAATCAGTGGTCTTTGGAGATAATAAAAAAATGCCCTTTCCTAAGTTTTCTCCAAATTGGGAAGCAGCACTGACGTATTGCATTATTATGCCTTTATTCATATTGTCTAATGTCTTCTCCTTCTGATAAGACAGTACGCTTCGGTTACCTGTGAGTGATTTGTTGCCACATGCAAAGAACACGTTCACAACAAAGGGTCACTACGCACAGCCAACCGGCAACTGGTCTGTTAACATTTGAGTGAAACCTGGAAATGGTTTCCTGTGCTGCTTCTGATTCTCTGTTATCAGTTTTAAGTCGAGTCTCCAAGGTGAACCTGGAAAGAACTTGGTCTAGGTTTGACCTTGTCGAAGCCGACTTCAGCTTACGTAAATGAATCAAACCTCAGCAAAGAAAACGTGTGTGTTCTGATGGGTTTTACGCCTGCGTGCGTATGAAGGGGTCATTCCTATCCTTAATGAGTTGTCTCACCTATTGCAATTTTTTAAAAAGATCTATTTATTTATTTTAGAGAGAAAGAGATAATAGGGGTGGGGAGGAGGGAAAGGGAGAGAGAAACACAAGCAGATTCCGCGCGGAGCTTGGAGCCCTGAGCAGGCTCGATCTCACGACTCTGACGTCAGGGCCTGAGCTGGAACCAAGAGTGGGCGCTTAACCCACGACGCTCCCTGGGCCCCCCTCACGTATTGCAATGTGTTATGTAGGGTTCAAAGTACGGTCTTGCCAACTTTGTGCTGGTGGGATGTAAAGGATTAATACTCTTCTCTCTTTTGTGGACAGCATCAGATGGACCCTTCCAGTAATTTCTACAACTACCGAACCGCTCTTCGTGGGGCAGCGCAAAGGTCTTTAACGGCTCACAGCAGCCGAGAGAAGGTACGTGCCTACAGGAGTTGTATTCATGCCAGTTACCACGTGTGGCATTAAAATGCACCGGGAACTCCTGCCCCAAGCTTCAGATCAGGAGAGAAGTCGAGAGACTACGGAAGGGTTTGTGCCGTGCCATGTGGAGAAGGGGAATGCTAGAGGAAGGTACCATGTTAATACCCGTTCTAAACGGACAGGACTGTGTTGCTACTGCATTATTTAAATGATCGTTTTGTTCTATGTCTTAGTTGTTTCTCAAGCAATAAATGAGGTCATGTGTTAAGATGACAGCTAACATTAGAGTAATTTGATTTAATGGAAAACAGACACTTCAGCTCGGCACAAGGTAGCTAATGGAGTATAACCTTTCTTCTTACAAGAATAAACTTACTCCCGTGGCTAAGTCATTTATTTGCAGGAAGGAGGTAGGTTGCTGTAGCGTTAGGCTGTTACGAGGTATGTGGGTGGCAGAGGAAGTCAGGGGTGATATCTGAGAGACGAAAGGTCCATGCTGTCTGCTCGCCCCTGAACAGTTTCATACGGTCCTGGCTCTGCCATACGCTTGACTCTGCGGGTCCTTTCTCGGCCCACGTTAGTGTCCTATTTCTTAGGCGAAAAGGAGCAGTCCTTTTGACATTTAGAGATCGTGTCATTTGTGAAGTCAATACCTGCTTACGGTAGACGGGGAACGAGGTTGTTTGATGAAGTATGTTTCGCTTAGATTCTGTCCATCTTTTAAGTCAAACTGTATCATCAACAAATTTTAGGAATGAGGGTGGAAAACACCGCAGGGCATCTCAGTGCCTTCTGCAAGAAAGCTCCAGCCTCAGTGATCTGGAACAAAAACAAATCACAAGAGGAAACGCCTTTTGGAAAGGTTGAACTGCTTCTCACAAAGTCCAGAGTATCAGTCCTGATAACATCTGACAGATGCTGGGAGCCCAATAGTTAAATTTTTTGAAGAGACAAGGTCAGAGAGGAGATGAAGCAGGGAAAACGGTCTCAGTTTATCCGGACGGAGTGTACCAGCTGTTAGGTTTTACTTGCTCAGGTCTCAGCCGTCCTATGACAAGACTGAGAAAAAGTCCAATCAGAAGTTGCTTCGGCTTCAGGAGATCAGCACATGGGGGGCCGCATCCTCTCACCCCCCCTCCCCAGTGGGGTGCAAGGCTGTCTCTGCGGGACCCTCCAGGAGAGCCAGGAGGCTAACGACCCCTACCTCCAGCAGGGCACCCCAGCCAAAGTCACTCTGAAGTCCCACCCCCCAGAAAGACTAGACTTCTGGGACTCCAACAGCTTTTTCCAGAGAACAGTCCAAAGTATTTACTCCTTAATCATGTAATAAACTCTGTCCGCTGTAGTTTTGCCGTCCTTTTAACCCAGTTCTGTGTGGGAGTATGAATTTACTCTCGTTCGTAAAACAAACAAAATCACCACCATAAAAAAAAAATGCCATTGCTTTTTCACAATTGGTCTCAAAGGCTATAAATGAGAACATTTCTGGGTAAAACACATCTTTTATTCAGGAGGGTTGGGGTTTATTTTTCCTTTTTTGAAGTGAGGAGAAACTCTCTTTATTCCCAAGTAATTTATAAATCTTCTAGCAACACTGTTCGGGTAATAGCATCTTTAATATTCTTTCAGATTGTAAGTTTATGTGAGCAAGGTGGCACATCTCTAGGTACCGTATCCTAGAACAGATCAATTCTGTCTTCTGCACGGAGGCCCTTCAATGATCTTAAACAGCTACTTTTCCTGTGGGTACTCCTGCCTCCAGGTTTTTAGCCATTTCCCATACGATTACATGGTTTTAAATCCTTTTACCGTTCCATCCATGTTTGTGGGAACTAGTTCCCGCTCAACAGCATGCATTTCTAGGCATGAAACCGATTGTGTTTCTAAAGCATATTTGCTAAGTCTCTGAATTAAGAATATTTTGATAGAGGGTGCCTGGCTGGTTCAGTTGCTGAAGCATACATAGGGCTCTCGATCTCAGGGTTGTGGGTTTGCGCCCCACATTGAGGGCAGAGATTACTTAAACAAATAAAATTGAAAAAAAAAAAGAATGTTTTGAAAGTGAATTAGAAAACATTATTACTTGAGAAGTTCCCCCACTAAAGGCATCATTGGCAGGACCTCCAAAAACTTCCCAGAAACCAGAGCTTTTGCTCCCTCCTATTGGCAACCCATGTATCTACCTTAGTGCCTGGGAAGCCAAAGCCCTTATAATCTCCTGATTTTTATTATGTTAGGTTTGTTGTAGGGGCTGCAGATACGAAGAGAACTGTCCGTGAGTAAATTAGAAGCTGAAGACGTATGGGTGTAAGGAACAGAGCAGTGAAGGGAGATGACTTACATTTCTGTGTTCTTGGAAAAGTGATGCAAGCTGTTAGTTAAGGCTCAACCCAGCAGTTCCACTTTTGACATTTATCCAAAGAAAACAAGAAGATCTCCGTACCCCTGTGTCTATTACAGCATCATTTACAATAGCCAAGATATGAAAACAACCTGAGGATCCATCGGTAGGTGAATGGATAAAGAGGTTGTGATCGCTACACACAATGGAGTAGTACTCAGCCATGAAAAAGAATGAAATCTTGCCATTTCTAACATAAATGAACCTCAAGGACATTATGCTGAGTTAAATAAGTCAGACAGATACCAGATGCTCTCTCTTCTACGTGAAGTCTATCTCTCTCTGTATATATAGGATCATCTTGGAGGCACCGTGAGTGTGAATATTCTGTAAGGTGTAGCCCTGTGCCTCCGCTGGAGGCACATGACATGGGGTTATGAGAAGTGTACGATATCTGTGTGAGACAGAACGCTCAATACCGCGTGACTCCCACAGCCCAGCACTGAGAATAAAGAAAATTCTTGCTTAAAACTCTTATACTATGCAAGTGCCACATCTTGATTATGACTGAGTCTTCATTTTCCTGTGTTGATACATCCTTGTTATCATAAAGGTGCATCAGTCATATTTTCCCCTTTCTATGGGCCCCATTGGCTTTCAGGAGAGCTTACCTCAGGTCAGACCTGTGTTATTTAATCCTCACCACAAGTCAGTGAGGTGGTTACTGTTGTTCCCATTTTAAGGTGAGGAAACTAGGTTTCTTAGTATGTTAAGCTTGCATCAGGGTTCGGCAGACTTCTCGCATCCAGGGCCAGGTCACAAGTATTTTGGGCTCTGTGGGCCATGTGGCTACTCCGCTGTGACACTCAGGCGTAGAAGTGGACACAGACGACACGTAGGTGCGTGAGCGAGTGTGGCTCGTTTCCGGTAAGGCTGTCGGGCCACTGGAAGTTGAAATCCCTGTCATTTTCATGCTCATGAAATACTGTTTTGATATTTTTCCAGCCATTTAAAAATGTTAAATATGTGGTCCCTCGCAGCACAGGGAGGGCCTGGGCCGGGCCGCAGGCCGTCGTGTGTAGACTCCCAGCTCGCGCTGCTGGTAAACCGTGGGGCCGTGGGAAGCCGAGGCCCAGCAGGGTCCAAAACCCAGGCTTCCCCGTCAGAGGTGCCCTTTCAACGAAGCGAGGTCCGGGGCGCGCCTTTTCATTGTTATGGCGGCCGTTTAGTCCTCAAATAACAGAGGATTAACCGGTGATCTTGGAAGGGGAAGGGGATGAGGGCATCTGGACTGAGAGGCTTCTGCAGACCATAGCAATGATCACAAGTGACTCAAAGACACTGTCAAAACCACAGATTTACTTTGGCTGTTCCAGCGACCAATGAAATAAAAAAAAAACCAAGGCTTACTTTTTTTTTAAATGGCTTTGGGAGACATCTGAATTTACCTCTAGAAGTGAAAAGTGATACCTCATATTTTTGTGTGTGAGCCCAAATGCCTGTTTTCCAGGGATCCCATTCCTCTGGGGTGGATGTGCCCCGTGAGTCACAGGCTTAGGGAAACTTCAAACACCTGCTCTTTGGTGAACAACAGGGCCCGCGGCTCGTGTCTGGAGTGTTGCGCGCACTGTAGCACACTTAGAATCTGCAAAAACTTGTTGGCACTTGAGAAAAGTGGAAGTTACAGTATCTGAGCTTTGTTCTTTGTTCGTTATGGACTTCACAGGATTTAAGATCGTTTCTTAGAGATGATTATTTTAGGTTAATTAAATACCGCCTCATCAAATCAAAGACCCGAGGCAGGAACGTCGTACTGGAGGTCTACTGCTTTTCAAACAGCCATTAATTCTAACAGACACATTTATATTCCTCCGCGCTTGGACACATCTCACAACATGTTGTGCAAGGTTCTGCCAGGTGATTTCCCCCGAGAACAGGTGCCTGCTTGTTCTCTGCCGGAGGCCAGGTTTACCCAATAGCAAGTTCGCCGCAGCCATGACCTCAAACCCTGAGCGCTCACGTTATCTTGAGCGATGTCTTCAAGAGTAAAATGTTCATCTCAAAAGAGATTCGTCTAAGACGTGTAAGTCTAAAGGACACAGCAGGACGGATTTCTGGTGGGGCAGTGGGTCACACGTCTTAAAATCTGAAGATACCTGCAGTTGCAGGTTCTGTTAGTATTTTGCTCGACCTAAGGGATTGCTAAACAAGAAGCCGGAGTTCTTGTAGCTCTTCCCTTGATTCTAACTAGAGCTTTTACATTTGTGTTACGGCCGTGGGGAGGACTGCAAGGCTCCCTAGGCCTCCACCCCTAATGCCCGTTGTCTCTGTTGGGGTTTGGTTGTTATTAGCATTTGCAGCTTCAGCACAATTACCGAGGGAGGAAAGTGCTGTCGTGGGCGGCCAGTGAAACACTGTGTCTTCCTTCATTGTTGCCTCTTCCGTGAGTCGCTAATGGCCCTCAGGAACCCTATAAGGGGTTCTGTTGTTCCATGAGAGACTGAATACCTATTTGCCCGAGCAAACCCAAATCTTTTCTTTTCTCTAGATCGTGATACCATTCTTCAGTCTTTTAATCAAAGATATTTACTTCCTGAACGAGGGCTGTGCCAACCGCCTTCCAAATGGCCACGTCAACTTCGAGGTAAGGGGAGGCCGCGGGATCCAAGCGCAGGGAGGGTCGGCCCCGGCACACTCCCGCCCGGCCAGGCCGCCCGAGCTGCTTCTGAAGTTCTAGAACCAAGTTTTCTCTCTGTCTGTTGTTTTGTAAGGAAATACCGCCCCTGAGGACCGAGCAGAATAAATTAGCTGCAGGGTTGTTACCAGTGATTATCCGGAGGGATGTGTGTCGATGTTTACCTGTTCTGCGCAGATACCTAGAGCTGGGTTGTATGAGATTAAGAAAATCATGAAGTTCAGTTGGTTCGAAGCCAGAGGGGGAAGAAACATCCGTGGAATGCTTGTGATTTTCGTGACCGCTTTTCAACTCTTCTTTTTTCTTAGAAATTTTGGGAACTGGCCAAACAAGTGAGTGAGTTCATGACGTGGAAACAGGTGGAGTGTCCGTTTGAGAGGGACCGGAAGATCCTGCAGTATCTGCTCACGGTGCCGGTCTTCAGCGAGGACGGTGAGTGGCCTTGTGGGCGGAGCCGCCCATCTCCACATCCCCGCAGCCTGCCATGGGGCGCGGCGCGGGTGCGGCAGGCCTCAGTCTGGTCCGGCACGAACACGAGGCCTGTCTTCTGAGCGCATCCGCCTGAAGAGTTTTCTGTTGCGCAGGGACCACGTGGTGTGCCCCTAAAGTATTGGCCAGGCGCTCGCTCTTCCCCCACAAACATTGTTTCTGTGTTTAAACATTCTCTGTAATCCTAGCACTGCCGAGCTTTGGGGACACACGGGGACAGTCCTTTGAAGGACGTTTTTCCCCACCTTGTTTGAGACTTGCTTCACTGGAGAAAAAAGGTGTTCTGTTTGTGGCACGTTGGTATTAAAAGTGATTTGAAAAACAAGCAAAAACAGTCACTACCTGCTGCTATTTGGAGAAGTAGTGGGAATCTTGACCTGTTAAGATGTTAAGGAATTTTAGGCAGAAACAGTGATTGTCTATACTGAAAAAAAATGATGAGAAGAGAGGTAAAGTTTATAAAAAAATTAGGGATTTATTCTTTCGATCTTTTATATTCTAGTATTTTGGAAATCAGTGTGTTAGTAATTTCTCGTAGCAAATCGGTGGTGTTTGTGATCATGACTGACATGCGTTTCGCACTAACGTTACCCATCCCAGAGGGGATTTGATCGTTCGTAACCTTTACACGTGGGATTAATACCGAGCTTTTAAATTTTTGAGTGAGATTCTTTTTGATTTAAAACTAAAGAAAAAAATATTAGAAGAATGAACAAGTGGCCTGGAAAATCTGGCTCTTTAGCTAAGAAAGGCTTTTTTAAAAATCAAGGCTAGCAGGAGAGGACCCCCACCCCCATAAAGAACGTGAATGTGAGCCTGTGATAGCATCGTGTGGTTCGCATTTGGAAGCTGTTTCCCCTCATAAACTTCAGTTAATTAAGTGCCTTTTTGGCCCAGAGGCCCCTTGGGTTGGCTTTTTTTTTTTTAATATTTTTTAAAGATTTTATTTATTTGAGAGAGAGAGAGAGAGAGCATGAGAGGGGAGAGGTCAGAGGGAGAAGCAGACTCCCTGCTGAGCAGGGACTCCGATGTGGGACTCCATCCCAGGACTCCAGGATCATGACCCGAGCCGAAGGCAGTCACTTAACCAACTGAGCCACCCAGGCGCCCCGGCCCCTTGGATTTTGTTGAGATGGTCATTTAGGCCAAGTGATATTCTGTGTTCTCACTGAAACCAGGGTGCTTCCCAGTCGTAGATGACATGCTAAAGAGTCTTGCTTCCGGGTTCAGCTGATGAACAGGGTGGTTGGCGGCGGTGGTGCGCAGGAGAAGGCCTCAGTGTTCACGCGCTCTTACTTTGGTTGATTGTAGCGCTCTACCTGGCTTCCTACGAGAGTGAAGGACCTGAAAATCACATAGAGAAGGACCGATGGAAGTCCTTACGGTGAGTCTGTGCTTCTCACTGCTGTGCAGCTCGACGGGCCGCGTGGGACTTACTGGAGGAAAGCCACATGCTTTCTGTAGGACGTCCCTCCTGTGTGTTCCAGCCCTCTCTGCTCCTTTTCTCTTGTCACCTGAATCTTTGCGGCTGAAAATCCTCGTTGCCTTCATTCAGTTTTATGGGCTTTCACTTGTTTATGCTGTCTCGTGTGCCGTGACTCTGCTCTCCTTCTTTCTCGTTATTTACCGCACAGTGTGAATGGTAGAAAGAGAACCGACTCGTTCCTTTCATCTAAGAGATAACAAGTTCAGACTCTGTTTCTGAAGAATCCTAACACTAAAATTTTATTTGACCTGCGATGAAAGAGACCCAAGTACCGGTTGGTTCAGTCAGTCTGAGTGTGTCACTCTCTTGGTGACTGCATTTTGGTCCCCATTTTGGTTTGAGAGAAGGAGGAAGTTGGGACTTTATCTTTTGAAGATGTGCTTGTTTGAGCGGTGGGGAGGGGTAGAGGGAGAAGGAGAGAGAGAATCCCGAGCAGAGCATGGAGCCTGATGCAGGGCTTGATCTCAGGACGCTGACATCATGACCTGAGCAGAAATCCGTTTGGACACTCAACCGACTGAGCCTGCCAGGCAGGCACCCCAGAAATTGAGACTTTAAACATGATCCAGAAGCTGTTCAAATTAAAGAATTGTGTTAATCTACTGGCATTTTCTAGTAAATGTGTTTTCCAAAAAACCAGGATAGGTAATAGGTTAATGTATATTTTAACCATTTGAGATATTTTAATAAGTAAAGTAGCCCAGGATACAGTAATCCCATAGTCAAAATTGCTCTATTTGTATTTCTGCTAAGAGACTCTGGGAACATGTGCCTTGTTGTACCAGGCGGACAAGCACGTTTCTCTTCTTCCCAGAGTCGTTTGGGAGTCTTTATCACACTTGATCCTGGGCCACATGTCATGAACCAGGGTGTCTGTTATATTGGGTTTTCTGTGATTTCATTTGGACGCAAATGAGGAGGGATGAGGTCCGGAGACAGTGGAATCATTATCCTTAGAGCATGTCAAGGTGATGGGTGAGCGATTGCTTTCTTTTATTCCAGACACAAACGAGAAGAAGGTGCGGCCGACACGTGGCATCAGGGGAACGTAGCAGGCTTGCGGGGCTGGTGCGCAGGTGGACAGTCACAAATTGGGGGCCTGCCAGTGACATATTTATATTAAAATTTCCTATTACTCTGTTGGGTTCACAGATATTTGGGGCACTCCTCAGTGCTGGGTGAGAGCTTTAGGAATGACTGACTCCTTGTTCTCTGCCTTCCATGTTTCTTCTTCTTTTTACTTCCTTTTCTATTTTTTTTTTAAGAGTTTGAAGTTGATATGGCCCCTGAGTAGGGCTTAGCTCTTGTGACTTCTATAGATTTGTAAGCACTGGCAAGCCGGGAAAGTGGACGCACTTACATGATACTTGGCGTCGGCGTTCCCTGTGAGGTCCAGACACGTTAAATAGTCTGAGCCTCCCACACGCGTCTTTTCCAGGCTTTTCTGATTGTTATTCTTTATGCCGTATTCCTTGTGGTTCGTGGTTAGTTGGAAGGGCTCATAATGTCAGAGTGTTGACGGTAAAAACCAAAGACCAAGTTACACAACCTCTTCCCATATCTACATGTACCGGACACACAATATACAGTAACGGTTAACATTCGATTGGTTGAAATGTGAACAGAGAGGTTAGTGGATAGTTTAGAAATAGGAAGTGAAAAAGAGGGTGCCCTGTACAGGCTTAAATTCAGGGACAAATCCATGAGTCTGCCTGCAGTTGTGCGCTGCTCAAACGTGCTCAGTAGTGACACTTCCGGTAAGCATTCTCCGAGGGGCCACCCCAGCCCAAAGAGAGAGAACAGTGTGTGGGGAAATATGTAGACAGACACAGGGAAGATGTGTTCTTCGTACAACACACTAGTTTCCACGTGGGAATTGTTTTTAAGGAGCCTTGAAGAACAGACTTTCACTGCGCCCTTTCCACATCCTGGGTCATCTCAAGCCCCACTGCACTGCCTCCCCTCTCTGATCCGTATCTCCTCCGACGGAGAACAAGGCAGACGTCTTCCCCGCTTCCAAGCTGACGGGCGATTTTTAGTGCCCTGCTTCTTACCCCGATGACAACGTAAGCCCCTCCAGGGCAAGCACGGGGTCTTCCATGCCCGCTGCGGCACTGGGCCCGCGCTCCTGCCGTGCCGGGGAAAGACGTCGGGTTGTGGCAGGTATTGGCCACATTGTAGCAGCCACCAAGAGGACAAGGAAAATAGGCCGTGATCGTTTGCAAAGCTGCATGTTAAGTGGATACAAAGGCTAATTGTTCTAGGCTGATAGTACCTAGTGAAACTTGTATCACTCTAACGTAGGAGGCAATCAGGTGACTCCGCATAGACGCTTTTCTGCTGGTGCCGGCGCCGTTCACTGAGGCTCAGCAGTGGCGATGACAAACATCCCCTGGGGGTAGACACCTGTCTTGTCCCTGGCTGTTTAAATGCCCTCCGTGGGCACTGGAATGTGCAGATGCTTCTCTTTACCGAGTAAGCCCACCTGTGATCCTACCAGTGCAGACGTGAACGTTTCTTCCTCTTTCTAACTGCATAATTGAACTCGGCGCCTAGGAGAGGTAGAACCGGTACTGGGCGGGACACTGTAACCCTGACCCAAATCTGCCGCCACGTCCGGTCTCTCACTGTCATCTTTGTTCTTCAGGTCCAGCCTCTTAGGCAGAGTTTGAGGAGCAGGCGCTGACCGTGGCTGCCGCTGAGCCGCGCGGACCGCCGAGGGCTGCGTCTCCCACACCCAGTTCTGCAGAGTGTCCCGTAGTCCCCGCAAGCAGGCCAGCTCTGGGCAGAGGGAGACGAACGTCCCACGGCCGACAGATGACTCGGACTCTGAGAGGTGGAGATGTTCACGGAAGATGCTTGAGAAAGAATCCTCTACCGACCGGCGCGGCCCGTGATTCATCTTCTGGAATTTCCATGTGAATCACAGCTCTGCACCTGGACGGAGCTTTCTTCTGTGTGTTTGTGTTTTTTTTATTTGCTTGAACATTTGCTGCTAATGGGACTTGCCCAGCTGAGGGCTGGCTCTTAGGAAGCCCATGTTTCTTTAACTTAAGTGAAAAAGGGAGAGGAGGGAGGGGAGAAGACCTTCCCGGTGGATCCGGACTTGAGCTCCACGGCATTGCCCGGAGGGGTAAGACTGGTTCAGCGCGGACTCGGACTTCGGTTCCCCTTAGTGTGTGCTGCGTTTCCAATTCCTCTCCTCCCTCTTCCTGCAACTTTGAGTGGGCTGCTGGTTAGCAAACTCCTTTTTACCCATATAAGTTATTTAATATAATGAAGCTCAACACTATGGTAGGAAAATAGCCACTAGGGAAAAAGCAGCAGACTTTGTCGTCGGACTGCTTGTGTTCTACAAGGACTGTTTGTTTTCTCTGCCCTTCTGAGCTGTTTACAACTGACCACTGTGTTCTACAGATGTATTTTTCAGTAGTTGTTTTGTTACTTAGTTTTCCATCATGCCTATTTTTTCCCTCTTGTAAATCTAAATTATCGGACTTTAAGAGTCTTGGAAAAAACCCATGACCTAATTACAACTTAATTTTTTTGAACAGACTGTTATTTTTCATTATGTTTGGGAGTCTGTTGGTGACCAAACATGTGAACCCGCGCCTCCCCTCCACTGGGGCAGTGAAGGAAAACAAACGGAAAACATCTTGCTGTTAACTCAAAGGTCGATCTAATTGTGAAGTAGTTCACCTTGTTAAACATCTCAATAAGCCTGTCGTTGCTCTGCAAACAGCCATCCTGTGTATTTACTCTAGGAGAAACTGTAGAGTAGTAAACTGCTAATGAAGAAACAAAACATCATGTTCAAAACCAGAGACGTATTTGAGAACTTAATGACACGGTTTCCCAGAACAGAGCATGTGTGTGTGCTGCACGCCTTCTCCGCAGACCGAAAATGTCGCCAAGTTGTCCCTTTACAACCATCAATATATTTTATACTCCGGGCCAGGAGCTGTGGCGTCTCTCTCTTTTATGGATGGGGTCGCGGGGGGCCGGGGGAGGGGGCTGTCAGAGCAGTTCAGCTCAGTGACCGGCGTGGGTGTGTCTGCCTTGGAGGAAGAGGCCTGCTGCAGTAAGTGTGTAGACATTTATCTTCTAGAAAGGGGTCGGATCAGGCATTGAATAACGAGCACTGGCCAGGCGCCGCAAGTGCTTAGTGTGGATCACCATCCCCCCTTTTTAGGTGTGGGAATGGGCATATTAATAATAATAATAATAACAATAATCTGTCCAAGGCCACATGGCTATTAAGAGGCCCGGAGATTGGAAGGAGGCTTTCGGATTCCAGAGGCCAGGCTTTGACCCACGCTGCCAAGCCTTCTCCAGCTTCGATAGGACCTTTTGGACTTGTCAGCCCGGGGATCTCGCTGGGGAGCAGCTTTGGGTTCTGTAGGTCTGGGGTAGGGCGCAGAGGTTGCTAATGCACCAGTCCTGGAACCTGCTGAGAGGAGGCAGACGCCCGGCCATACCGGGCTTTCCCTGGGGAACGTCTCTCCCCGAGCTCTGTGCCCCTTTCCTTACTGCCGGGGCAGGGGCAGTGTTTCTCACGACCGTCCCCACCCAGGACAGCCCACTGTGGGCTGCTGGCCCAATCTGCCAGGAGCTAACAACGGCTTGGAAAAAATCAACAGAATAAAATTTTCCAATTTGTGAAAATCCTATGAAATTTATATTTCAGTGTCCTTAAAATCGAACGCAGCCATGCTCCTCTGGTCGCGCACCGTCTTGGGGCCGCTTTCTGCCCTGGAGTCTCCCCGCTGCAGCAGACGGCGTGGCCCGTGCAGCCTCCCACGCACCCCCCGCCCCCGGCTGGCCCTGCCCGGACCGTTTGCCCACCAGCCCCTGGTCCCCCGCGGTCCTCCTGCACGTCCCATCAGCAAGTTTGCAGAGACGGCGTGAGGTCTCTCGTGGGGCATGAGGTGCACACATGTGGCTGCTGGAAATATTTTACTGAAGGGGAATTGGCTTAAAACATGGGATGCTGAGTTTTCGCGGAAAGTTGCCATCGTCACACGCAGCCTCTTGTCTTAACATCTAGATAAACCAGGCTTCAAGAGTGTAGGTGACGGTTCTGTGGCGATCTCCAGCTCTTCTCTCTGTGCCGTGGGCTCGGACCCCCAGCAAGCTCCAGTCCCACGGGTGTGGCTGGACCACGGCCTCCAGAAACTCAGCGTGGGCGGCCCTGGCCCTGTCACTCATAGGTTCAGACTCGGGAGGTCGCCTGTCTGGACGCACCACACATTCCGCAGCAGACTCTGCCCTGAGGCCTGGGGGAGCCTCAGAGCAACCTGGGGTGGGGAGGGAGAGAAGAATGAACCTTTCTCCAAGGACGTGTCCCTGGTGTTTGCCCACGGGCTTGAGCTCCCCAGGAGCGGCCTTTCATCTCACCAAGCACCGTCCTCTTTCCCTCACCGTGGGAGGTTTTCGGCTTCACCTGTCCCCCCAACTGGCTCCTGGCTGCGACACCCCCGCCCAGTGCCTCAGCGGCCTTGTGCTTTCCTGCCAGCAGCTTCTTTCTGTGCTTCCCTTTCTCTCACTGCCGCCTACAGCCCTCCTGCCCTTAGGATCTCCAGAAACCACAGCCTACCGTGGGGGCCCATGGGACCCCGTAGCTAACCCCTACGGGAATGTTGACTTGTGGATTATTAACATCTTCTACCTGCTGCTGGGGGACATTCTGTTGACCCTGTGACCTGTCTCAAAAAAGACAGTGCCTGCCTCTTTCCCAAAGGTGTCTTACCATCCTCACTGAGGGTGCACAACGGCGGGTAATTTTCCTTTGGAGCTTAGGGTTCAAAGGAATTCCTAGATTTGTTGCCTGGGGGGAAACGTGAGTTACCTGGAAACTAGTAACTAAACATAAAAAACTCAAAGATATTCTGATGGCAGCTCCGTCAGCTTCTCCCTTGAGACATTTTTTCTTTCAAGATTTTATTTCTAAGTCATCTCTACACCCACCGTGCAGCTCGACTTTCAACCCCGAGATCAAGAGCTGCACACTCGACCCTGAAGACATTTGAAAAGGAAAGATGTTTGCCAGATTTGGACTTCGAGAGTTTCAGTAGAAAATGAAAACTTCCTGGAGAAGTCAAGCCACAGTTTTTTTCTGGATTTGAATGATCGGATCTTCCCCTCAATTGTCTGTTTCACGTAATCAAGACCACTGGCTCCCCTAAAAGCTGACAAAAGACATGTTGGGGTTTGAGGTTTATGCATCTGAACCCAACAGGTCAGGGGCCTAATGTCCAAAACTAGCAAATAAGGTTTGCTTCATGCCAAAAAGACCACTGCCCTAATTCTATATGAAAACTCAACTCCTCCTAAAGGATGTATATATACTTTTTTTTTTTTTTAAATGAATACATTAGCCAACATTTTTGGATTTCTAGGCACCGGTTTTGTAGGTCATAATTTAGGGAATTAAAGAGGGGGAAGGGAAACGATATTTCTTAGAATCAAGAAGAAAATGATGTACTTCTTGAAGGGACCGAACCATGAAACACCGTTTGCATTCTTTCCCTCTCTCCGCCTGTGCTGCTTGGAGAAAAGGAGAGTTAGCATGAAATCATCCTTCTCTAGACGGACTGCTGTGGGAAAGGAAGGTCAGCACAGCGTACTGTCAACCTGGCTGAAACACGGAGTTGAAGGACCGCGGGCATTGTTAAATTTTTTGCAAAGCAATTATGAAATCTCACACAGGCAGGGGACTGGTGTGACTTAAGGTGCACCCAGAAGTGTGCTGAATGCAGGAGCAAGCCAGGTGCCACCCTGGTTATTGCAGACTCACAGGTTTTTGCTTTGTTTGGGTTGATTAAATCTCAACCGTACCTCTAAGACAATTGGATTTCGGAAATAAGTAGAAATTTAAGTAATTCTGTTCCACTCATTGGTGCCCAGAGACCAACAAGGGAGATCCAAGGCACTGAGGTTGGTTTTCATTAGGATGACTCTTAGTTGGTCTGCTAACATCCCCCTCTGTTCATTAGTACCAATAATCATAACAAGAAACCCATCTTTTTAAAATTTTTATTATTTTTTTTTATTTTTTTAAAGACTGTATTTATTTATTTGACAGACAGAGGTCACAAGTAGGCAGAGAGGCAGGCAGAGAGAGAGGAGGAAGCAGCTGCCCAATGAGCAGAGAGCCGGATGCACATTTCATGAGGTCAAGTGCTAAACCTGACCGTGCAGAGATCTGTGGGACTTTGGGGACGTCTCCCTTCCTCTCTGAACCTCAGGGTCCTCCTCTGTGAGCAATGGGTCCAGACTAACTGCTGTGGAATGACCATTCCTGAGCTAAGGGTCTGTGGTTTGGGAAAGCCCTCCTCGGCTTGCCGGGCTAAAAGGCGAATTCGCAAGTAAACACTGCGTCTCGCATCCGGCCGCAGCTTTCTCTTCCTCCCACCGGCCTCTTCTGTGTGTGTGTCCTTGTGTCTGAGGACGGAAGGGATCAGAAGCTAATGGCTCCTCAGAGGAGACAAAGGAGTGATGGAAGTTCCAGTCACCCATCGGGTCGTGTCCCACACCGGGACAGAGCTCTCTATAGGGAAGAGTGACGTTACACCAGAAACCAGAAAATACCCTTGTGCAAGGCCAGTGGAATGATTTCAAAGGTGCCAGAAATAAGAAACACAGTTTCTGAAGGCGACAAGAATGACTCTGTGGGTTGGACTAATCGTTGCCACAGCGGCTGTTGTAATCGTGCCTGATTATGTGGATAAAATCAGACAGAAATTGCCTGTTCACACCTCGGCACTTAAACACGAGTCACGCTT